TCTAAGACCTAATATGATTTGTTTGAATAATAAATCAATTTTCAGGATACAGAAAGCAGAAAAGTATGTTTCACCTGTCTACTATCAAGAATAGTCACATGGTGTCTGATTATATGACTACTATTTCCTGGATTGCCTTGACTTAATTAAGATGTAATTTATACTGTTAAAATCACTGGAGATAACAAATGAGCCACAGTTTTCGGTTCAGAAAAGGTGTTTTCTTAAGAGATTTTGCTGAAGTTATCAGTTCCGTGTTGCTGAGTTTCCTGATTCTAGATAAATTAAAATACTTTTGCCATGAAGCAAGTACAATGTTACACATCTGCCTTGTTTTACAGGCTTGCAATCCTAAATATGAAGACTTTGACAAGACTGGTTCAATATGTGCCAGCGAGAACATCAATAATACTCTTACACAGTACCGGTGGCTTGTGAGTGCACCCACTGGTCCTGATGGTATCACGAGCCCAATGAAGGAGATTGACTTTGATACCTTCTTCACTTCCTCCAAGATGATCACTCTAGACTCCATTTATTTTCAAGCTGGCTCTCGAGTCCAGTGTGCAGCTCGTGCTGTGAATTCAGATGGGAATGAAGGCCTTGAACTTATGAGCCCTATTGTAACTATAAGCGTGTCAGAAGGTAGGACATCATCACCTGCTGCACACCTCCTAGACTGCTTTTTGATTTCAAATTCCATCCTAAAAAATTCTGGTGATTTGGCAAGAAGTTTTAATGTCACAGGCTTACCTCTTCTGTATTTGTTCATAGAGATAGGTTTCCAGATTCAGAAAAAAAAATAACTTTGATTTCTAAAGAAGAAAAATATCTTTGTAGGCATAGAGAAAGCAGGAAGTGATGCAAAATATGTTTTCTCAATACACAGAGAATACACAGAAAGGTGTATGAAGGGAATGGTTTTGACTTTTATGAAGGGAATGGTTTTGACTTTGTTAGTCATCTTTAAATAGTTTGCCACTAACAAACTTGTGTGTTCTGGAGGACAGTATTCAGTATGCTGACAGTATGCTTTGGAATTAATGAATCCTTCCTTCTGTTGGCTTTGGAACTCTAGTAATGTTGCAGTATGATGTCGTATCTTATTAAGCACTGGAGAGTCCACATGGGAGTCCACTAGCTAGAAGAAAAGGCTTCATTTGGCATTCATACCTGTAAAGTGAATTAGAATCAGAGATTAACTTTGATTTGATTTGGTCCTATTATTGGAAACAACTGTTATCCAATAACAGGAGGAGACCCTGCGCTCCTCCTTTCTCATAACTCCTCAAGTGGGCAAAGAGCACATAGACTAAGAGAACTGTTCTGAAGTTTCACTTTTGGTAGCTTCTCTTAAAGGTCTTTGAGATCCTTTAGCCATCCCATGACAGCATACCTGCCACTTACCTTGCAAGTATAGTGACATGTGTAACTTGCAAGTACAGTGTCATCACCTGGTTTTAAAAGTATGATCCAATTGACGAAGTAATGGTTTCTATTTGAATCATCATTTGCAGAAATTCCCTTTCAAACCTGTGGTAAATGCTGCCCAAAACATTTATGTGTCATTCCAGGAAACTGTCTGTGTTTTCAAAATCCATATGGTGGAAAAACTGCTTCCAAAATCAATGCATTGTAAAGTGTGGATTATTGTGTCTGAATATAAATTTGCTTCTACTCTTTTCCATTAGGTCTTTGTCAACCTCGAATGTCAGGAGCAGTTGGAGCAGAACCATTCTCTGCCAAATTGCGTTATACTGGCCCAGAAGACCCAGACTACGTCAATCTCATCAAACTGACAGTCACGATGCCGCATATTGATGGTAGGATAAAATTGGATGTGAAGCATATAACAAGCTATTTAAGCTTTAGTTATTTTATTAGTCATGTTATTTTAAATAGCCAGGCATAACCTAACCTTTTCACATGTGCATCTAGAGAAATGAACAAATGTCATGAACAAATAAGTCTAGTTTGCAGCAAGGTACATAAGATACTGTATTGATACATATTCTTTGATCTGAGGATTAAGTGTTTTCAGATTACTTGTATAGTTTACATAAATTGGGCTAGACCTACACTTTGTAGAACACCTTTGAAGTGCATAGAGTTACACCAAGGAAGAATTTATCATGTGTAGTACTACGTGTCCTTAGACTTGCAGACGTCTAAATATTGCTGCCCTTCAGAGAACAGATTGATATAAGCTTAGGAGTAATGCTTATACAAGCTGTAAATGTCCCCTTAATAGCTGGGCGTGTATAGTATGCCCTCTCAACAGAGACAACTAAAGCTCTCCCATGCAAAAATATATGGATCACTGCCTGTTTGACTTGGAAATAATTATTTATCATGGTCATATATGTATAAGTTAAATATATTTGTGCTCATTCAATTCACTGGGTTTTAAAGTAATTCTATTTATTATTTATAAATTGTTTTGTCAAGTTGCACTAGACACAGTATAAACTCACTAAGTTGCAATAACTTC